AAAATTTCGTGTCCGACAACTTTTCAATCTTAAATAATAGCTCACATCAAAATCTATTTCACTTTGCTTGGAAACCGTACTCACATTGGTCGGGAAAAGATGTAGTCCACACTCTCCCAAAAAGCCCAGATGACCATGCAGCAGGAAGGTCGATGATATTTACTGTAGCATTACATGCCCTCTTTTTGCTCTATAATGTGTCTCAATCTTCCTGTCAAATCTGCCCCCCCTTCTGACATGCATATGGCGGATGCCTTCTTGAGGTAGTCGCAAAATCCTCTTAAGTGTTTGTGCTTCACTAAAACGACTTCCAGCGTCGATATGGCTTCGTGCTCTGGAAGACTCTCCTCTTGTAGCATTTCGATGGCAAGATATCATGGATGAATCGCACCGTCGCTTTGCGGGGAAGGCACTCCATTACAAAACTACAATGCCCTCTTCATGTTGTGCCACCTGCAAGTAAAGGCTGTCGCCGGAGCAGAAACTGCGTTTCTCCAACCTCGATCGAACTTTTCCTACTGCTTGACGGCTGGTCGCGTGTTCAGGCCATATTGGTATTGTTGCCATGTCTGCTTCACTGTACAAACTTGTCGTGACATTTTGAATTCGCCATGTGCAGTTTGAGAGTGAGTTGGGCCACTTGCTGTGGCAGTGTCTTTGCGAAACCCATCCATGCGTTGAAGCGACGCGTTGGCGATGTACGCTGGGTGGTGCTCAAGGTCGGACACAGCGATGCTGCCACTTGAATAAGCATGTTTGCAATGTCTTGTCGAGCTAAAGCAAGTGCGCCTGACGAGGACTCTGCATCCGTGGTAAGTACTCGGGTGACATCATCGAGACGGCCATTCACCGCAGCGATCTCTCGGTGAATATTCACGGTCTCGTTGCGCATCTCTTGAATGTTCTCGCTCACGACTGCAGTGCTTGATGCAGAAACAGAGACTATGATGATGGGTTGGTGTTGATAGTTGACAAAAGCCTTGTCTTGAACATAGTCATACGGATAATGCTGCTTGGTTTCCGGAAATGTTTTGTTTTGGTCGACTTGAATTGTATTATTGGTGATACAGTATGAAATTTTATCTTTTCTGATTGGCTACATTTTCAGCATTATCCAGGTATTTTGGATTGATACCCCACACTCCATGCATTCGAACAAAGATTGCGTTCGTTTCACAAAATTGCTGCTTGGAGTGATTAAACTGGGACGGAGGTACAGTGATGCCTCCATTTTTGCAACGACCGAAATCAATAAACAATGAAAGGAATAAATTTACAAAGGTTTGGTACAACACGCTCTGCAGACAATTCAAATGTATTCATTCAGCTGATCAAGACATCAATTGACAGGTCCTCACGAACTCTCTCCTGGCGAGTTTGCCAGCACTTGCGAACGTATTTGTGTTGCTCATGTTTTGCACGTTGATGTGTGCCATCCTGGGCATGGAAATGTACCGCGGGGCATTTCATTATCGGTGCCGGGCGACGCCGTTTCCCGTCGCATTGCCCCCGAACGGAACGCCGCTACTGCGTTCTCGAACTCGACCAAATCCTGGATATATGTCTCGTGGCTTCCT